GTTGCATGTCCGACAGAATTCACGTCAGTGGCCAATTGGTCCAATATCTGTGAAGTTTTATTGACTTACTTCGCTACCCAGCAAGCCATATGATTTAAAGTGCTTAAGGCCTTAGTTGCAGCTGCCCAAGGGAGAACTACGGAAGTAACCACTCTCTGTCCATAATTCCAGAGCAGTATGTTATCATTACACCGTTCATTAAGGTGTACTGCCCTGCGATCTCGTTTATGGAGCAACGAGTGATTAAGTAGCAGTCTGTGAGCGGGTGTCAACAACCCCAACCTTCCAAATGTACAAGGTCCCCCTATTGGTTGTGCAGGGATTCCTGGCCATGCTCTATCTCCACACAAAAGAAACATTCCTGTAGGGAGTCGAGGAGGTGCACTCACTGCTGGAACACTCCAAGTCCGATTTCTACCTAAATACCGACACCAAAAGGAACTAGTTTTATAGAAAGACGATTCAGGGGACACATCCTGTACTATAGATTCACCACGTGTCTACTCTATTTTATAACCCTTACGATAATTAAAATACACACAACCCTCTGCAAATAGTGACCCTAAAATATCTAATTCTTGAAATGGAGCACTAACAGGTAACACATCAGTCCAACTAGCAATATGTTCTAGACATTTGTGTATGTTATTACAGTCCTGTTTCAAGAAGCCACACTGCTGGACGACATCTTGCACCAGGACAGATGCTTCCGTGTCATTCAGGGGGATACCAACAAGACAGGTGTGAAATGGCTACTCCGGATACACCATCGATGCACAAAAGGTCATGTAGTTCAGTTCCTTCATTAGAGTCACCCAGACGTTCCGACTATGCCATGGAGTGAACTTTGACAGGTCAGGAACTGCACTGACGACTTCCAGGACTAACAGCAGGACACACATACCGCGCAGGTACCCAGCGAGGGTCATCATCTGTTCAGACACAAGCACATCCCCTTCCCCAAGTTATCAACTCATGTGGACCAGACCACTGACCAGAGATAAGATCCCGTATCTGCACAGGAGCTTTGCCAGACAGTGGTTGAGTTGACAAAAGAGAGGAGAAATGCCGAAAAGAAGGTGAATAAGGACAGTCACCAGAGAAGGTCAAAAGGTTTGAGACATACAGAGCTTTGTCTAGCCTAGAGACTGAGGGGGTTATCCCCTCATTCCCCCTTTCTATTCTTTAAGCAAGTGTTTCAGGGCACCATGCACTCTCTCCACCATAACGTGTCCTGTAGAAGAATGTGAAATAGTCGTAACATGAGTGACCCTCTACAAAGCAAAGAAAATTTGGACAGATTTACATACATAAGACAGTTTATTGTTCATCCACACTTGAGCGGGTGTTCCAGATGTAGCAAAAGCATAACCGAAGTGTTTAATGACATCATGGTTTTTTTGTCTAGTATGTGCATTAATAACTACTACATGGGAAAACATGTCAGTGGACACATGGACATGCTTTAAATTACCAAATACATTGACATGAGTGTCATCCAATTGCCACATCTGTAAGGCCTTAAGACCTCGAGGGTTAGTACCAAAATAGACAGGAGTATAGGCATTATGACAATCTGGACAAGAGTATAGACGTCATGACAGTCTGGACAGGAGGCAACAATTAAGCAAGCAATAGAATGAGTCAAGCTAAATCGACGTCTGAAAACTTCTACACTTTGATAATAACAAAAAACTAATGAAACAAGACAGCTTGCTGGTGAATGTTAGGAACAAGTCTCAAAGCGACAGAAAAAACAAAAACATCTGCCCGGGCATTACCCTCTGTGAAGAAACCTGGCAAAGAGGTATGACTACAAACATGTAGCACAAAATAAGGAACAGACCTCTGCAAAAGAGTTCTCTAGAACTCAAACAAAACTTGAAAAAATAAGACATGGAGATGGACAATACAACACCGCCTGATAGAGTTGCTGTAATAAATTAACAACATATACAGAATCAGTAATAACATTTAAAGACCGATTAGGAAATAACTGAAAAGCAAGAGTTACAGCTCGATGTTCCACAATTTGAGGAGAACCCTCTTGATGAACAAGTTGATGTTGTCATCCACATTCTGCTTTCCACACTACTGCACCTTCACTTGTCTTCCTCGAACCGTCTGCAAAGACTGTAAGGCCATCAAGGGGCTCTGCGCTGCTTAGTGTTTTTGTCCAATTGGAATTTCCCTAAAAAAAAATCTTAAGAAGGGAATGTGAAGGGAAATGATAAGAAATTTGGCTGTGGAACCCAACTAAAGCAGCTTGCAATTCACATTTGTTTCCAAGGCACCACTCAAAGTAACGAAATTGTACAGGTACAACAATGCGTGCTGGATTTCTGCCAGAACACTCTACACACCTTTTTCTAACCTCAATAATGATTTGAGTTATGAGTTCAAACAATCCAGGAGCAGTTTTTTGAGCCCAATAAGGCAAAAAAAATAACCACTCTATGATGTGCAGTAGATCAGACCAATGGTCAAACCACCGTACCAATGCCCCAAAAAAAACACTGTGATCTGCAAAAATAAAAGATTAGACAATTTAACAATGATCAATTCACACAAAAAAAATTTAGAATGTAAAGCCTACTCTACTCGCTGGATGGTTTGAACTGCTCTTTTAGTCAGTTCCCTTGATTCCTGAGGATCGTCAGAATGTTTGAGCAGGTCAAATAGAGGTGCCAGCTGGGTGTTTGCCAATTCCAAATAGGACCTAATCCAATTCAAAGACCCTAATAGTTTTTGTACATCAGTAAGAGATTTGACATCAATATCCAATTGAACTGGCTGAGGAATGACTGTTTTCCGTGTAATTTTGAACCCTAAATACTTCCAGGATTCCTCTCACTGCACCTTCTCAGGAGCAACTACTAGGCCAAAGGATTGTAGACTCTTTCTGGTTTCAGTTTCCAACACACCCAACTGATCCTCAGTGGCCACAACCAGCAAAAATATTAGCTATATAACGACAACAAAAGACAGTCAGAAAATTACAGGAGATAATGTTGGAATCATAAACCACTGACAAATTATAGGAATATTTTAATTTCCTGGGAGAGGGTTTTCTATGTATAACACCTGTAAGGTTCTGCACGCTTAATAGATGGAACTGAAAATGCAATTTTTTCTTCTCTATAACTGGGGTCTAACTGGATTGTGAAAAAACAACCTGTCAAATTAATAATAACAATGGGTTATTCAGCAGGAAGCATAGAAGGGGTCAATAAACCAATGCTGACATGGTAACCATGACCACACCACCCGTCTGAGACCATGCAACAGTCTTCATTTCACAGATTTTTTTTTATTTTTTATTTTTTTTTTATCACAAAGACAGGGGTGATTAAAGGATTCTGAGATGGTTCAATGTGATCAACATCAAGTCGCTCTTTAACAAGCTGTTGTAGAGTCAATAGCTGTTCTGTAGGTATGAACCACTACTGAAATCACACAGGATCTATATATTCTAAAAGAAAATTCTGAACAGTACCTCCTAGTCTCACAACCCAAACCCCTGGTGTGACCACAGACCAGGAGACCGACCAGGATGTCCGTGCAATGATAGTTACGTCAGGTCCCGAATGCAGAAGTTCGTTTGCCTGGACAACTGACAACAAGCTTCAAGTGTCATAGAGAGTGCAGGTCAGCTGTGGACGTTGTGCAGAGATCGGCACTGACCAAAAGACTTGTGGTGCATCAGTAGAACCAAATCCTCCATCCCAATGCTCACGAGGCTCTGCTTGGGGAGCACAACTCAGAAAAGATACAAATTGAGTTATTCGTGTCCCTTTAGGAATTGTCACTGAAGGATAAGGTGTGGAGACCATAGCACAAATCTGCCTTGTATAGTTAGCATCAATGACTGCAACATGAACAAAAAATCCCAAGATCCCGCAATTGTGCTACTAGAATGACTGATCAACAAGGCACTTAACCCACGCTACCTTCGTACAATGTTAAACATCCACCAGTCAGATTATGTGATCAATACGTCTGGTACAGAAGAAGCAGCAGTCACAAGCATTGAGAACACTTTTCTGAAAACACAGTTGCCATAGGCAGGGCACGTCCCAAGGATGAAGGACTAGCCGTTTTACGAAGAATATTGCCACCAGCTGCCGCATGAAAGGAACCCCAAAAAGAAGACACAAGGACTCCCTGAAACGACATCACAGCCCTGGTCACCCTGATCAACATAACTGGTGTACTCTGGTCTCCAATCAGAAGACCTAGAGACACACTATCCGTAACGCTGTTGACACTTCTGAGAAAGGACGCAGGATAGCCCTGACAATCTGCAGGGCCCCCCCGCAACAGACCGATCAAGCAGGGCAGCAACATCCACAACCCTTGATTTAAACCCTGGAAAACACAGAAAAGCTCAAACGACTCTGCCTCCTGCACAGCCCACACAACTACAGCCCATGGGCAGCATGACACATGAAAAAAGAACAGTACCAGAGGAAAGGCTCTACCTGAGATTTAACCACTATAAACCTCTGAAACAAGGCTGAAATAGAACACCAAATATGTGTAAGAACTTCTTATGTAACTTCAGTCCTGATCAAATAGCTAGCCAGACAGGACTAGTCTTGAAATAACTAAAACCTCACCAGTTTTCATAAGAGTGGAATTACTCATGGTGGGAATTTGAAGAATTCATATACCATCCAGAATAAGGATTCACTATGGTTCAACAGAATCATGTTACACATCTCTAAAATCTTGACACCGGCAGAAAGTATTTTTAAGTTTACACAGTTACACATTCATGTAGCTTTTCTCTTTCACACAATCTTTTTCCAGTCATACATAGGTGGTCACCTCAGTCATCCATCATTCACACACACATCGTAAGTTGTTATTAGCTGTATAGTTCTCATCAGTCTCGTAACTTAAAGGGAATTTTAAGGCATATTTGCTAATATTAACTTGTAAATCTTGTACAACTCTCCATGCAAAAGACAAATACGACGAGAATGGACAGGATATTACCTTGAAAATTTTCAACCTTTTTCGTAGAGCAAGGACACTCTATTTGTCATAACGGCAACAGAACCACTGCCACATTTTGTCCTCCCTTCTTCACCTCTTCCCGCCCGCTGCCCCCCCTGCGTCTCCTGTTTCTCTTGAGCACTCGGCCCCCCTGGAAGCAAGTATTGCTTCATCAAGGGAGCTTTCACTAGCACTTGTCGGAGGACGGGGGAGAGGGAGGGAGGGAGGGGGAGGAGGGGGGAATAGAGGTTGGGGTCTTTCGGAGAAAAATCAGGAAGAGAAGTCAAATTGCCTTTGCTCTCCTTATATCGCAAGTTATCTACATGGTCTGCTGAGAAAGAACGATACATAGGAGGGAAGGAGCAGTTGCAGATGGACACGTTCCGGGGGGGGGAAGGTTGTAGAACAGGGGAGAACACAGACAGCCCCCCCACTGCACCGCCTGACACCGCGACCGCCGTTGCCAGCCCACTACCCCTCTGTAACACCGCTCGGGACCATGGCTGTCGGCAACGCGGGGGAAAATAGACCCCCCCGCCGTCCACTGCGCCGAGGCCCACGGTCGCACCGCTCCGAGCCGGGGCCGGGGTCGGGGCCGGGGCCCGCAACTGCGACCAGTCTGCTGGCATCCAGGGTCGCGGTGGCCTGCCGCCGGGGCTGCAGCACGGGTACCGCTGCCCGCACGGGTACAGATGAACCCGGCGGCGCCGAAGCCGGACACGGCACCACCCCGCAGGCACCCGGTGCCGGGTACGCAGGCACCCGGCACCGGGTACACAGGCACTGCACCGTCCGGAGGAGATGTAGAAAGCTCCTTAAGATGAAATTCAGTCACTATGGTCACAAGATCGTCTCCCGGGCCATCAGCAGCACATCCATGCCGTAGCTGTCCTTGATCATCTTGGACAAGTGCTGCCCAGTGTCCAGCAGTGCGTCCATTTCGGCGGGGCCGCTTGGTTGCCCCCGACCCCGCTCCGCAACCTCCGGTCCCGCTTTGGTTCCCTTCGACTCCGCCCGGTCCCTCTCCTTTAAAACTCTAATGTCCTCCCAGGTAAAGTAGCTTTTCTCTCAGTCCGAAAACATGAAAGTAACAAGGGACATAACGTAGCTTCGTCGGTCTAACACCAAAACGCCGTAACAAAACTTTCCAGGTGATAAACACACGCCTTTCGTTTGCACACATGGTCTGCCCCATGGTGACTTAGAAAAATTCTCAGGAGCCCACCTGCACCTGACCAAGTGCCAAATGCACCCAGGCTTCCCAGGCAACTTGTGCCTTCCAAGTGTGGCAGAAACACTCGTGTGCAGGTGTAGAGAAAATCAGACCCGGGTCCTGCAGCGCACCCCGCTGCTATACAACTCCTGAGCACCGAGACCCCGCTGCACTGTTCCCTGCAGCTCACCTGTCTCCGGCCGTGATACCCCTATGACCCAGGCAATACTCGACAGTCTTTTTTTCTGTTCGCGTGGTCCACCGGGGCACCAACTGTCTCTGGGTATCCGTTGAAAGGTCTCGGCTTGAAAGGGGGAAGAAGGACAGACGACACACACGAGGATGATGAGACAAAGGGATGTCTGCCTGCTCAGCGCAGCAGGCAGTCTTTTATTAGGTCCCAAGTTCCACTTTCCCATACACACACACTATAAACATTTTCCTGCAAAACACCCAGGAATGCAACACCTGCAGTTTGTTATACAGCTAGACCTTACACTGTCCAACTCTCAGGGCTGTCTCCATGGGAATGTGCAGTTATCTCTTACTTCTCTCACGGGAATGACCTTACTCCCTTTAATGCTTCTAACTCTTCTACTTCCAGGGGACCCGGAGGTTCCATGGGCCTGCCATCTCCCCCCACATCTAATAGTACTACAGAACAAAGAGGAAAATATTCCAAATTGTGGTGCCACTGAAAGGTGGGATTGATGGTACAATTTTACCCTGGTCAAACCTGATTTCGTGGTGTGCCTTTGAGTCCACTGTAATGTGGGACTTGTCACACATATTTAATTTTAAAATAGATATTACCAAATTCAACCTAACCACATCTGCCCCAACAACAACTCCATTTACTCAAACATCTACTTCAAATGGCCAAAAGTTGTTGTCTCCACAAATTTCTGAAACTGGACCATATGTGATAAAAAATACAGGTCAACAACAAATGTTGTTTAACCTGTCATGATCTCTCCAATGAGTTAAATTATTGATGCAAAAGAATGTTTCTACAATCCAACCAGCTTGTTCACCATTCCTGAAAACCTCTTATGCAGGATGGACAGTATGATTGCATAAATGAACCCTCTTTCCCCAAAGGCGAGGAAAAAGAGATTTGACATCTTGGGAACAGAACTGGGAGTTCTAAATTACATTGACTCTGAGGTATTAATGAACAAACAGGTCATGATAACTAGTGATCTGAACAAACTGAAACACCCATCTTCCCTTTTGGCTCTGGGAACTAATCAATGGTTTTTATTGGATATATTAGCTCAGTGGGAGGGAATTAATGGAAAAGACCACCAATTGATCATAGATGCACTCTATGTAGTCCAAACCAATGTTTGTTTGGTTCTTAGTTGTATCCAAACTTAACTGTGGATGCACTTGATGACACCTGCAATCATAAGGGAAGGTGAAGAAGGTACCTTACCCATTGAAATTCAAAAGGTAATTTGGGATAATACAACTGAATTTGAAAATAAATTCCAATCCTGGTGGTATTTAGTCAGTTTTTCCTATGATCCCATCAGCAACATAGCCACAGTTTTTGTGTTAATGATACACCATGCTTCAGTATATGACATATACCCAATTATTGCTTTAGAATTAAACTATAATGGAACTATCCTCCTGTTATGATCCCGTTAATAAAATTATTAGAAATGCCTCTACCTGAACTAAGGTGCAAACAAGACCAGATGCCAAAGTCAATAGTATGGGTTTTATTTAATAGTAAATGTGAGACAGAGAGATAGAAAGGAAAAGGAAAAAGAAGGGAGGGGAGAAGAAAGAAAGTGACAGAGAGAGATTAAAATAGAAAATGTATCACCACTCCATAGAACCTGGCAGCATCCCATTGGTCCGGTTCTTCTGGTCTTCTTGGTGGTGAGGGTCTCCCACAAAACATGGAGTCCAGTGAATTAATATAAGTTCAGGAGATGCCAGGCACCTCCCTAGGGGGTGGGGGGGAAACTTTTCAGATCTCTCTTGGATCACATGCAGTCCTTTGGTGGTAGAAGGTCTCAGGAATGAGTTGGGGGGGGCCTTTGATGGTTTATGACCTGCCTCAGTTTAATGAGACTGAAATGTTTTGCTAAGGAGGATGAGTTATGAGGAAGACCAAGCTCCTCCCTCTAAGTAATTGTAAATCCGAAATTAAGATGCTCTAATTGAGGAAGTATGGAGAAAGAAAAGATAACAGTCCTTTATTCAAGGATATATGTGTATTGGCAGAACAACAAAAGAACACAAAAACAACTAAACACTAATCCTGTACACAAAGTCCCCTCCAAAACAAAACAGTTCAGTACTTTCTGCCTTTTGGCGCAATTCTAACCACGATCAGGAGGGGGCACTCTTGGATCACTGAAGAGCCTGCAGTTGCTCTTGTGGTGGTCGACAGGGGGCACTGTTGGGCTCTGGCGGTCGTCGCATGGGGGCCCCAGCGCGAGGGAGAAGCTGAAAATGGAGATCTCCCCCCCCACCAAGAAGGAGAAGGGGAAAAGGGGAAAAAGGGGTTCTTCCCACAGACTCATGCTGTTGGCGGCTGACTCCTGCCGGGACTCCCCCAGAGGTTCCTTTGCAGAAGGGTCAAGCCTCTCCGATGAAATCTGAACAAGTCCGGGCTGGGGGCAGAACAAGGTGCAGGAGAACGGAGGCGAACCGGGGCCAGAAGTAGCCAGATGACGCCACCGAAAACAAAACAAACCACCAAATCCATTCACACACATACCTTCCCTGAGTCAGGGCAAAAGTGGAGTGCCCTCGAGTTTCCCGAGGAGAGGAAAAAAACTTACACCCCCCCCCAGTCTTCTGACGGCCAATCAACCTGCAATGCAGGTTGCAACCAGTTCTTTTGTGTGTGTCAATCACCCAAGGTAAACCACCCCCCCCCCCCTCGTTTAACATCTTTCTTTTACAGTGATGCAGGGGAAAGAAAAAAATTCCCAACTCAGTTTTTTTAGAAAAAGTAAAACTATGAAATGACCCTTCTCAGTTGCCTCTCACATGAATGTCCCATGTGTACATGGTCTTCCTTGCAGGGTGGGGGGGTTTACTCTGGTGTGGAGAGATTTCACCATCACACATCCAAAACTTTTCTCCTCCACCACACCTTGAGCCTTGTTTACTTCTTCTCAGACCTGAGGTGATTAGACAATACTTATCTCAAGTTCCCAGTCACAGCCCAAATTCCAGTCAGGAGGCAGGAGGCATTGGGGGCGGAATTCGGTGGTTGCAGCAGTTTGACAAAAAGTCTTTCTATGATTTTGACGATGTTTTAAGCATTACCAACATTTCAGTCTATCACACCTCCATAGAATCATAGAATCATAGAATCATCTGGGTTGGAAGGGACCTCCAAGATCATCAAGTCCAACCCTTGATCCAACACCACTGTGGTTACTAGACCATGGCACTAAGTGCCACATCCAGTCTCATCTTAAAATCCTCCAGGGACAGAGAATCCACCACCACCCTGGGTAACCCATTCCAATGCCTGATTATCCTCTCTATAAAGAATTTCTTCCTAACCTAAACCTCCCCTGGCAGAACTTAAGACCATACCCTCTTGTCTTACTGATAGTTGCCTGGGAGAAGAGACCAACCCCCACCTGGCTACAGCCTCCTTTCAGGTAGTTGTAGAGAGTGATGAGGTCTCCCCTGAGCCTCCTCTTTTCCAGGCTAAACAACCCCAGTTCCCTCAGCCTCTCCTCATAGGATTTGTGTTCAAGTCATAGGACTTGCGCTTCATCCTCTGGAGCACAGAGGATGGACTCGAAAGAATAGAAATAAATGGCAAAGTATCGATGTTGATCCATGCATTGTGTCAGAGCAACAAGGATTCATTATCTCAAGACATTTGC